TCTGGACCTTCTGCTATGTGGAATGATGGACAGTTTAAACCTGTTGGAATCCAGGTTTTTATGACATGCAGCAAAACTATTCTCCTGATAACATATTAGGAGAACCAATAAAATTTAGATCTGGAAAGGGACTGCTTATAGTTAAACTCAAGTAGACATACCTAGGAAGAAAATCAGAGGATTTAAGAAAAACTTAAAATAAACAGCAGAGCCTACTTTTAGACTGGTTCTTCTGAAAGACTAATTTGGCACCAAAATCAAGATGTCAGACAAGAACCAGGACAGAAACAAATAGTTGAGAAATACAAATGGAGTTAGAGTTTGGAACTGAAGGTTATGTTCGAGGTGAAGGCTACATTCTTGTATCCCAAAAGCTATGATATAAGCCACTGCAAATTCCAAGTGATGCAGAGATGCCAAAGCTTCTAGGCCAATACTGAGAAGCTTTTGAAGCAAGAAAGGCCTGGACTGTTCTGCTCTCTTATATGAGTGACACAGGCCATTGTTCAACTTCTTGACTGGCAAGTAACCTAAAAGATTAAAAAAGATAATAGGCAACATCCACCTGCTGAGTCCTGATGGGACCAGGCACAGGCTGTAATCCCCTGGTCTACGGTAAGATTGGAACACCAGGAAGTTCTAAAGATACACTGAGAACTATAGAATATTCCTTAAGATCATTATTAAGTCATTTTACTTGACTGGTTTTATTTCAATAAATTCAATGAATGTTTGATACGGTATATGTGCCAGAATTTATAATCTAAATATTAATTCATTTTTATTGTTGCTTTTGAAGTGTGAGTCTTGCCTACACCAAAACACACCTACATACATGATTAAACCACATTTTCAATTGTATGATTGTTGATGTGATGTTGAGTGTACATGGTCTTGCATATTGTAGAAAGTTATCTCATTATTCTAATACTTTCCTCTGCCAGTGCCAGAGGAGTCTTCTATTAACTTCATGTGTCAAGGATAGATCAAATTTTACAAATCTAGAAGTAGAGCTTTAAAATCAGATCAACCATTGCTCAAATTCCAGCATTGACACTTTTCTATGTTGTCTTTGAAATGTTAGTTAATCCACCAAGTCTGTTTTCTTCTGAGGAAAATGGAGATAATACGTCTTCCTAAGAGAGAAATATGTTTCTTATAAGACCTGAAGAGGAGAATGTGTGTAAATTACTTATCAGACACCCGTGAACATAACAGAGATTAAATAATGCCAGCTGTCATTCCATTTTTCCTAAAAAGGACTTACACTGGAGAGAGCAAAGTAATTGAGGAGATGAGAGAATTTTATCGGCCAATGAAAGTATGCTTTTCTCTGGGGAATTCACGTTTAAAATTAAGTGCTCATCTATCTGTGAATTAATCTCCTTAAGCGAGGTTTACCATAATAGGGCTATAACAAATGAAATATTTTTGCCTGGATAAGGATTCTAGATTAAAGATGTTACAGAACGGCACTATTTTTAGCTAGATTATACTTAGGTATGTGAAAAAAGACCACGTGGACCTTAGTTTTTGAATTCTTAGAATACAGAAGGTGATTATGTTGAATGGTAATATGTGTTTAAATGCCTAGGAATCCCTCTTATTTTTAGCTCCTACTAGCTGACAGTTGTAGCTGTGGGGGGATGACTTGAGACTGTTTTCCAGTGTTTACCAACAGAACTAAATCAACAAAGTAAGTGTCTGACAGAAAATTGTGTTCACAGAAGTCAAGTCACTGAAATCTGGTGTGTGAGAGAGCAAACATGTCTTAGAGAAGAAGTAAAAACAATAGTAGCTCTCCCTCCATTCAATCCTATGTAAATCCTTTCCAAGGGAGGTTAGAGCCGCAGATGTCTTGTGGATGCACAGGCTCACAGGATCACAGGAGGCTGATCCATGTAAGGGCTCTTCAGCAGATACCTTGACTCAGGAAGGGGATGGAGGAGGATTAGAAGCAGAGGGACATGGAGAGAAGAGCATCAGCAGGGGTGTTCTTCATGACCTTTTGGGATGAAGGGCGCTCTTCTCATGAAGCTCTCGACCAAGATTTGGAGGGGTGTGGAGAGGCAGAAACACCCAGCTCAAACCTATTTCATTTTTTAACTGTGTAAATAGATCATGTCTTCTACATACTTAGAATCTCTTCACTGAATCTCATTTTTATTAGCCTGATTTTTAATAGGAGTTCCATGATTTCTAATTCAAGTTTTTTTTTTTTCTTGAGAGTGCAATGGTACTGATATTTTATGTTGTTGACTGATGATAGACGAGATTTTGACTAGCAGGTAACAGTTTGCAAAACACCTCAGTGGTCCTTCTTTTTGAAGACGAAGATCTGTCCCTTATTGAAATTTCTTGCCCCTTTTTTTCTTCTCTAACAGCAGTGCATATAGATCTATATCTGTAAATATTTCTGAGTCTCCTAGAATTATTTGTTTACAAGTCTCTACTCCACTGAAGGGTCAATGCCCTGAGGGCAGGAACTTGGTAGTATTTGAATTTAAACTTTGCACACAGCAAGTGACTGATAGATGGTGAGCCTCAATACTCTTGTTGACGGGGTAAGTAAATGCTGACATTCCTTTGCAACAATTTCAAGAATGTCTTGAAGAGAATTTTTCAAAACCTTACGAGCCTTAAGAGACTGAGTATCTTTGGTTTCTGTTCAATAAATATCCGTAGGTACCAGCCAATGTTTCAGGTATACAGGATAATATGATAGTTAAGATATTCATCCCACTTTAAAGTAGTTCTAGACAAACTGTTACTTTTAAAATTTGGTCTTGAGAAAATGATGTCTGGACATGTCTGTGTGTCTCCGTTTTATGTCTGATGGCAGTTAATTCATTTGAAATTATGATACCATTTATAAAGATTTTCTTATTCAAATTTAAAAATTATAATCAATATTGTCAATAGATCATAAAACCCAGTAACTCTTTATTTTAAAAAATGCTCATTTCTACATACTGTACAGTTTCATGAACTTGCGCACTTCATCTCATGGGGTCCATAACTAGAGTATTGTGGTTTTGTAGTTATCTGTTCATGTATTTGTTTCAATTGTCCTTTAATTGAGATCTTCAGCATACTAAGGCAGTTTGCAAAACTCCTTTGATTTTTGAACCATTGTTGCCATCCAGTGGGAGAAGATGGTATTTTATTAAATAGAAGGAAGGCCATTCCCCTAAATAACTAACATTACAATGGTAATCAAAGTTTTGTAATCACAAGCCACAAAAAATTAAATTTCTTATACTATTGAATTAAAACCAAAACTAACAAAAACTGAGTTCTTTAAAACATTTATGACTAAAAAATTTTCATCAGTATTACAGATTCTGTAACTGAAGTTTCATGCCTGGATTGCTGAGCACACGGCTGAATGAAGTATTTCTTTTGTTATCCTACATTTATTACAGTTAGAGGTTTATTCAAATCGGGTAACCCTTTATAGTTACTCTTCCTGTTTCCAGTGTTTCTTCTGCTTCTTTGGGTTCTCTGTGAAAGAAACATATAGGTTCAATCTGGGCCTGCTGCTCCTTGGATGTCTCTTTAATATTTCATTAGCCTTTTTTCTGTCTTCTTTTCAGAATTCCAATTCAAAGTTCAACCATAGTCCTACTTCCTAAAACTTTAAATGAATAAATGCTTGAAAACAAAAACAATTCTCATGAAATTTTTTCACTGTTTAAGTTTAAACTAACTGATGTGCTACAGAAATGTGAGCTTGATTTTTTTAAAAGATTAAAGAAATGCTCATAAATTTATAAAATTTCTACACAGTCACCAACTACCTGGCACCTGGCAGAATCAAGATTTATAAACAAGAAAAAGCAGGCTTTATTTAATCAGTGTATTTCCAAAAGCCTGTTGTCCAGCATAATTAGAAACATACATCTGAGTTTTACAGAGTCTGCCCCAATACTTTGTCAGAAAGAATATCTCAGAATTCCTTTTATGAATTCCTCAAAGTACTACCCAATTTATTCATTCCAGCAAATCACATACCACAGTTTCCTCCCTAAGCACTGCCTCTTCTGTGAATAGGATGTGAGGGAGAACTTCTATGACCAGACAAGAAGAAATAAAATTTACTAAACAGTGTGTTATTGTGATTTATTTTAAGGTAAATGTTTTTTTCTAATCATATGCTTGACTTATTTTGAAACCACAACTTTTATAGAAAGAACTGACTTTTTGGGAAACTTTTAAAAAGTCCATTAAAACCTGTTTCTTATAAATAATTTTCTTTATAATTTTAGAATTGTTTTTTAAATTGATAAAATTTAAAAATTTGAATTTGAATTGATGAAATTTCTAGGGCTTTCCCTAGGAGACTGCAGCCTGAAATTTAAAATGATGAAGTGGGCATTTTTTTCTGGACTATTTAACGTCTGCTCATTTAAGTTGACCAGATAATTTTAAAATATTCTGTCCTCATCTCCAGTACAACTTTACTAAAATTGACATAATTGTGTTAGTATATTTTGAATGGCTCTCTTTTCATGTGATTTTTTTCTGTAATTTTTCACAGATACTTTAAAGAGTCCCTGCCCTCATGTTTCTGCTCCTTGATCTTTAATTTGTTACAGTACCTAGAACAAAATTCTTTTGATATTAATCAGAAATTTCACAATGATAAAAGTTATCTTGGGCCGGGCGCGGTGGCTCAAGCCTGTAATCCCAGCACTTTGGGAGGCCGAGGCGGGTGGATCACGAGGTCAACAGATCGAGACCATCCTGGTCAACATGGTGAAACCCCGTCTCTACTAAAAATTACAAAAAAAAAAATTAGCTGGGCACGGTGGTGCGTGCCTGTAATCCCAGCTACTCAGGAGGCTGAGGCAGGAGAATTGCCTGAACCCAGGGGGCGGAGGTTGCGGTGAGCCGAGATTGCGCCATTGCACTCCAGCCTGGGTAACAAGAGCGAAACTCCGTCTCAAAAAAAAAAAAAAAAAAAAAAAAAAAAAAAAAAAAAAGTTATCTTTCCCATTCAGTTTGCAATGTAATAAATCTTTTAAAAATTCACATTGTGCTTTCTCTCTAAATTAGAGGATCAGAGAATATCGACCTGTTCAAGCTGATGACGCCACTAAATCAACTTTGGGAAGAATCGCAGGCTTTCATTGGTTCACACACTTACTTAATGAAGAGAGGATGGAGGTCATGGCATGGGACAAGCCTGCCATTGAGACTGTGGAAATTCTATGTTATATAGAATGCTAGTTCCAGATTAATGAAAGTAGCCAATCCAATTGAAAAGGGTGGGGGAATGCTTAAGCTTGTCTCAAGAATGGTCAGAAAACAGAACAATCTGCTTTACATTTTTCTACAGGGAATCCATGTGGATGAACGGCACACTGGCAAGTAAGCTCAATCTCTCCAAGTGAGGTGGAAGCATCAGTGTACAATACAAGCATCCAGGTATCAAGGGCAAACTAGGAGGGGGAGGGCTGTGTGCCTTCTCAGCAAAACACGAAACCTACCAAAACCCACAAGTACAAAACAAGAACTATTATTCAAAGTAGAATAATTTGGGACAGGCAAGTCAAATATATCTGAATATTTGCATGATTTCATTTTTATAGAGCATTGACGAATTAAATTGTTTTATTAATTTAAACAAAAAGTAATTACTACTATCAAAAACCATGTTGAGTGCCTCCTATGTACAAGTAGACACTGACCATGCGAAGAGGGCTTAGACTGGTCTCTCTTACCTCAAGAGGATGGATATAAGCAAGATACTGATGCTTGCAAAGAAAAGGGATTAAGGCAGAACAAAAAGAACTTGTAATTGATGTATGACTAAGGGATTCTTTGTTGGGCTTCTCTCTCCCTTTTTAAAATCCTGACTTAGAATCAACAAAATGATGCAAACAAAATATAAGGCAATGGAAGGAGACTTGAGTTGTAAATTTATTCTCTTATATTCCAGTTAACATCTAATTAGCATAGAGAAGAAAATACATATTTTAGACTCATATAGGAAAACAGTGCAAAACGCAAAATTGATTCTTGTATTTCAACTCTCAATTTCTCAGTATTGCACAACCAGAACTTCTCTAGCATAAGCATCATTTAAAATGCTTTGAAATTTAAAATATATAGAATATCTGGAAATATCTGAGTGGGGGGAAAAGAACTTGATTTAAGGAACTCATAAGTGAGAGGCACATATATTCTTTATTAAAATGAGCTTAGTAACACAAAATTAAGTCATTTTAGAAAACAGTCTAAATATGGGGTGCTACACACTGTGATATACACTGTGTATCATTTAGGGCATTCTAAGCGGTGGCAGGATTCATTCACCTTATTGAGTCAAATCTCTTTATCGAATGTGACTGCATGATAAACGGTACTTTTATTGCAAAGTAGTACTGAAATCCTGTTAAGTTTAACTTGAGTATGTTGACTTCTGTACAGACATTTGAATGAAAGTAATGAGCCAAGATTCATAGCATCATTGAGGTATGTATCTCAAAGTAGTGGCAACTAGAACCACACCATTCATGAACATTGTCACGAAAAATTTGACCAACAGCACTCACCTGTGAGATACTCAGTTGACATGGAAAGTTTTTAATCTATGTAAAATGTGTAGAAAAATTAGATAACATGTGTATATTAGCCAGGATTTCCAGAGAAACAGAACCCAATAGAATGTGTCTGCCTGTCTATCTATCTGTCGATCATCTATCTATCATCTATCTATCTATCTATCAAGATACTTCTTACAAGGAATTGGATCATAAATTTTGGAGCCTGACAAGTCCTAATACCTGCAGTTGGCAACCTGGAGAGCCAGGAATACTAATGGTGGATTCCAGTCCAAGTCCGAGGCTGGAGAATCAGGAGAGCCAATTGATGAGTTCAGGACAAAACTGAGCAGGCTCAAGATCCAGGAAGACCCAGTGTTTGGATTGAAAGAAACCAATGTCCCCAGCTAGGAGGCAGTCAGGCAGGAGGAATTCCCTCTTATTCTTATTATAAATTATCTTATTATAAATCTCATTAAGGCTGTCAACTGATTGGATGAGGCCCACCCACATGAGGGAGGACCATCTGCTTTACTCAGTCTATTGATTTAAATATTAAACTCATCCAAAAACATTCTCACAAAAGCACTCAGAAAACATCTGGTCAAGCACCTGGGCACCCCATGGCCCAGTCAAGTTGACACATACAACAAATCATCACACTCTGTATTGCTTAAAACATATAATGCTGAAAGTGCTTATTTAATCTCCAAAATTGGCAGAGGCAAAAATATGAAACGTGCGTGTAGTGAAAACATATGAACCAAAGCACTGATATAATAATTGTTCACCTGACTCTGTAAATGCCAAGCATCCACTGTTCTAGGCACAGGATATAAGGTGGTGAGCAAAGACAGTTTTCTAGGCCTGGCAGAATTTACACTCTGTGAAAGAGAGTAAAAGAATAAGCATATATTTATAGACTATGCTTTCAGGGAGACACAAGTGCTGAGAGGAAAAGCAAAGTAGGCCCAGTTGGAGAAGATGTAGGTGGGTAGGCAATCTGGATGCCCAGGATGTGGGGAGAGGAAAAGGCTGTCTTTAAAGTTAATATTTTAGCAAAGACAGTAATGATGAGAGGGAGTGAGGCAGATGGAGATACAGGGAGGAGCATTCCAGGCAGAGGGAACAGTTCCTGAGATGGGAACAGATTAGTGCACTTGAGGAATAGCAAGAAGGCCAGTGTGGCTGCAGAACCACAGAAAGTGGTAGAGGTGCAGGTGGAGGTTGTCAGAAGCCAGATCAGATAGGAAGCAATTAGCATTGATCAATTATCAATTAACGAGCATCTCTGCATCAGTATTTTCACTCTCAACTTCCTCCTTTATTTAATACAATAAAAGCACACTAAAAACCATAGAATAGAAAAAAAGAAAAAAAACCAAGATTTGAAAATGTCTACAAACACTGAGTTAATACACAACGTGCGACGAGAACATGAGTTTCCAGTTAAATAAGCAAATAATTATATTGAGTATAAACGTATCTTAGCATGAGAACATTTGACTTTGTAGCTGAATAGTTAAGTACTGAATTAAGTGTTTCATAGTACTAGTTTCTGGATTATGGATTGCTTTGCATTGGTCCTTACTACAAGTGTTAGCACTATACTAGTTTCCAGATGTTAACAAACTTTGATCTTAAGCATAGTCTTCTAGAGAACAATGCAGGTAAAATGCTTTCATTTTATGTATTCTGAAATATTTAGAGATAAAGATAAACATTTGAGGAATATTTAAGCTTCTTGTTTCCCAAAATGCATCTTCGTGAAGCCTGAGAATCTGTAATTTTTTTTTATTGCATTTTAGGTTTGGGGGTACATGTGCAGAACGAGACTCTGTACTCTTATGACTGTCAGGAAAATATAAACCATTTTAAGGATTTAAACTAGAAGAGATATAATATAGTGAATGATTTATAAAGTGATTAGGAGGACTGCAGATCAAAAAGATTTAGTAGGGGATGCTAGAGAACTTTTTAAAAGGGGGAGGAATGAGAGTAAAATATCAGAAAGTTGCTAGTACCTCTAACTGGAACCCATGTGCTGCACTTGACTTTTGTGCCGTGGATAGCCTCTGCAGCTGCCAGCTCTGGAAATGCTGAGAGCCTATTCTGTCTGACAATGTTGGAATCAAAGAGGGGTCACCAAGGTAGCAGAGTCACCAGAGAGGGTGTGCACTTTCTGGGCTGCTAGACTCACAGCAGCCTACCCCTACTTGTACTGCCCTCATTGCTGGCAACTGTCACTACTGTCAGTACAGGGGCCATGCAGGTTTTACCTTCTGCTGTCCTCCCAATTCCTCCCATTGGCAAAACAAACAGGAAGGCAGCTGGCAAAGGCATCTGGGAAATGTAGTTTTCAATTACCAAGCCCAGCAGCATTGATCAAAGAATAGAAATGTGTGGGAGCTAAAACCAAACAAAAATAATCAGCCCAGCCCAACCATTAGCTTTTCAATATTCAAACACTGCCTTTAACCACATTTAAGCTTCCATGAAGCAATAACACCATCTTTATGCTTCCACCTGGTATGATGCAATTAACCCTTGTACAAGTGAAGATAGCCTTTCCCTCTCTTAAAAACAAGCAGAGATACAAAGATCCATCAATCACATTATTCATCTCTTGTTCAGCCACAATCTCATCAGATTATTCTGTATTCAAGAGTCCAAATTTTTAATTAAACTAACACAGTACTTATAATACAAAATTATAATAAAAAGGAGGAGATTAGCTAGTATTTATATATGTGAATATAAAAAATGCATTATTTACCTATTCTTGTATAACAAATTACCCCAAGATGTAGGAGCTTAAAATGAAAAACATCTTTCACCAGTTTCTGAGAATCAAGAATCAAGAAGTGGCTTAATGATAGTTCAGGTTCAGGGCTTCTCATAAAGTTGCAGTCAACATGTTAGCTAAGGCTGCAGTCATCTTGATATGGTTTGGCTCTATGTCCACACTCAAATCTCACGTTGAATTGTAATTCCCAATGTTGGAGGATTCACTTCGTGGGAAGTGATTGGATCATGGGGGCAGATTTCCCCCTGCTGTTCTTATGATAGTGAGTGAGTTCTCACAAGATCTGGTTGTTTAAAAGGGTGTAGCACTTCCCTCCTCCACCATGGTAAAATGTGCTTGCTTCCCCTTCACCTTCCAGAATCATTGCAAGTTTTCTGAGGCTCCCAGGCATGCAGAAGGATGCATGGAATGTACAGCCTGCAGAACTGTGAACTAATTCACCCTCTTTTCTTTATAACTTATGCAGTCTCGGTAATTATTTATAGTAGTGTGAGAATGGACTAATACACATCTGAAGGCTGGACTGGAGCTGAAGGATTCCTTTCTAAACTCATGCACGATTGTTGTCTGGAGTGCTCAGTTCCTTGCCATGTAGACTTTTCCTTAGGACTGTTCATGACCTGGTAGCTGGCTTCTGCCAGAGCCAGTGATAAGAGAGAGAGAGAGAAAAATGAGAATAGGGAGACGGGCCGGTGGGGGGGGGGGGGTGCGAGAGAGAGAGAGAGAAGGGAAATACCAGGAAGCAGGAATCATTGGGACTATCTTGGAAACTGGCTACCAAGACAAGAAAGAAAGAAAATGTATGTGGCTGCTGTAATTGTTTCTGTAACATGTCCTAAGGCTGAAGTTGGTATCTGTGACTTCCTGCTCCACTACCCTTTCTGTGTTCTCTTTGCACTCAGCACTTTAGCTAGTTAGGATATTTCACCTAATACCCCAAACTTTTATTCTTGGAACATCAAAGTCCCCAGAGTCTACCTCAATTAAATTGTTATTGTTTTGTATTAATTTTACTAACTGACATAGAAATATCAGGAGGCATCTCACAAAATCCTCTGGGCTCCAGACATACTCCTCCCTTTCCACCTCTGTGTGTCGCAGCAACCCACTTTCCTCTTGCTAATCGGGACCATTAATAATTGCCTGCACTGTAACCTCCTTCTTCATCTATTTGCTCTATAGTATGGTAAGACCAAAATTACCAAATGGCAGTCCCAGCTTCCAATTGGGAAACAATTGTTGTGTTCTCTGAGAACACAGAAGAGTCTAAAGACATGAAGATGAGAAACAAAAATTTAGTGAATGATTTTTAGGTGTAATAGTTAGACAAACCCTTTCGATTATCATGCTTTGATCCTGGACTCATATATTCTGGCTATAGGAGAAAGATAATCAAATAGTGGCAGTAATTTTTTTGCATACAACATGCCCTGTTGGATGGCACGTATACTTTGCAGAGAATTAGCTCCATGACTGGGTTTTCACTAAGCCAATTCTATGAAGGACATTGAAAGACCAATGAATTCTCTGACCGAGGTATTATTTTCACTCTTGTCTTTTTGTAAAATGAGTTTCTTTGTTAGTGGCAATGCTATAATGGAAAACAGGATGGTAAATATAGCACTACATGTGATGAAGCTAGGAGAAATACAGTGGGCTAAACATAAACCTGTTTATCAAGGAAAGGTATTTATTTCAGTAAGGACGTATCATTGTTCCTTGCTGGTCTACTGCAACCAGCGTGTCTCCAGATGGCAGGTGTCATATCAGAGGTTTAGCATTAGTCCCTTCTAATAGTCAGTTGGGCAGTCAACAACGGTGGCGTTCAGATTGGCTCCAGTGAGGGGATCTAAGCTGTTTGGCCTATGTACATCCTCTATATCAGACATTACAGGGATTTGTAAATGGGTCCATTGAACAAAGAGTGAAGTAACTAGAGAAAGAATTTAGCTGACATCTAAAGAATGAATCACTTTCCTCACTTGAGTTTATTCATTTTTCTACTTAAAAGTAAGATGACAGCATTAAAGATGGGAAGGAAACAAAAATGTAATATAAACAGGAACAAACTTATCTAATTATATTTTCGATGACTAATAGAGCTATACTGAAGGGGATTAAAAAGCCAGGTAATTTTGAACACAGTATTGTTAGTTTATATCCTTAGATTAAAGACAAAATACTATAAGCACATATTAATCTCGAGCAAATACATAAATATATTGATGAAAATGCAACAAAAATTTTTATCTTGGCAGAAGAGGTTTAAAAATATAAAAAGAGTGAAGGCTAGAATAACCTTTGTGTTGTTGAATTGGAATTGTAGGCATCAATATAAATTCATGGCTATAGATGTAGATACATATATTTTTATGTGCATGCATTTCCTTTTACTACCTCTTTCTCAGAGAGTACCGACAAGCGATGATACTCTGGTAACAATGAGCACACATAACCACTAGATCTTGGTTTCTGAAAACCATTCTTCACTAAAAGGAATCCATAGAGACTATGGATTAATTAATTTAGTTAATTCCAGATCTAGAGCAAGGAAGGTATAAGATGGGATTTCTTATTATACCTGGAATTAAGGAAGTTCTCGAAGAATAACGGAGGAGTGCCAAGAGGATGTAAGAGCCATGTTGACGGGCCTCTCACTGGCCAAATCTGGGGAAAAGTGAGTTTCAAAATGAATAATGATAGTAGAGTAATGATCCACTTGCAGATAAGCTCTAAGTTGGCCCACAATGATCACTTTGTGGCCTCCTAAAGCTCACACCCTTGTGCAGTCCTTCCCATACTGAATGGGGCTGTGTTAGCAATAGAATGCATTGGAGGCAGCAGAGCACGACTTCCAGGTGTAGGTCATAAAAGCATTGCTGTTCCCACCTTAGTTTCTTTAAGGGGTCAGTATGGGGGAACCCAGAGTCCATGCTATGGGACACTCAGACAGCCCTGGGGAGAGGCCTGCCACCAACAACAAACACCAAATTTCCCACTTTGTGAGTGGCCACCCTGGAGCAGACCCCTCTCTTTCCAGTCTGATGTTCAGAAGACAAGCTGGGCCCAGACTGCAACATCATCAAAGCCCTGAGCCAGACCCATCCAGACAAACCTCACTGAAATTGCTGCCCACTGGATGAGTGTGAGACAATAAATGATTACTGTTGTTTTAAATCACTCACTTTTAGAATGATTGCCTATGCAGTACTGGACAACAAACTCATCCTAGAATAAAATAAGAGTCTATGAGTTGCACCCACATAATGTAAATAAGTAAATGGGAGGAGTACGAAAGAAAAGGGCTTTTTCTTTACAATAGATTGCCAAGTAATACATGTAAAAGGATAATACAGTTAGAAAATCACTGCTTTTCAACCATCAGAGTGATAATTGAATTGGTAAAAGAGTTGTCAACAGCTGCTAAAATTAGAAACTGAGAATCTGATGAGTAACAGGTTATTATATAGTCTCAAAATACCTCCCACAAGAGGGTTATTAATGAGGAAGGGGAAAATATTAACTTACCTAGGAAGAACATGGCCGATGCCACTTACCTGAATAAAGTTAACATCCTCTGTAACGGGACTGTCACAAGTCATAATACTCCTTTCAAAAATGTGTAACCTAAATTGAATGAGGAGGAAACACCAGACTAAGCCTAAACAGGGAGGCATTCTATAAAATTATCAGCTCATAAGATTGGAATTCTTTCAGATTAAACTAGCCTAAAGAAATGTGGTGACTGCATGCAACACATGAATTTTTGTACTTATGTGCAACTTTGTTTGTGGGTATAACAGCTTCAAAGAATTAGCCAAACTCTGTCTTGTTTGCAAATGAGCAGAAAATATAATATGGGGTTGGTAACTCTGGGAACTCTATGGATGAAGAACTTGTTACACTCTAACTCGTATGCATTATATAGACCTACCTTATGGACAATACTTATGTAAACCAAATTTTATTTATTTTAAGCACATTAATTTCCAGGCTATTTGCTTATCCTATTTCTTTTAATCCTACTGATACATGAAAGGATATAGCTTTGGTTTAATTTTATCCCACCTTCCTTTACCTTGTAACCTTCCTACCATAATGTATAAATATGTATTAGTTTTTGAAGATTTTGTCATTGGATGTACATATGTGAAATCTTTAGCTTCTTCCCAGAAGGATTAAAACACATGAACTGGCCTTTTCTGAAACAGATTTTACCAATATGGCTAAATTTCTTGCTAAACATTGTGATAGAATCCATTGCATATGTGAATATATTTAAGTGAAGCATTAAAAAAAAACCCTTATAATTCATGAATCTTTCTAAAAGGCATGAGTGTCCTAACTAGAATGCTAAATGCTTTGGCGGGTGATGGTACCTAGGTTTGAGGTAATGTGGGACAGATGAAGTGCTTTGCATTACAACTGGCTAAGAATTATGAGGAGGGAAAACAAAGCATGCAAGTTAGCTTCAGCAAGTGGGGGTGGGTTGAGATGTAGAATATGTGCATAGGAAGTGAAGATTAAAGACATTTTAAGGGCTATATGCTCTGCAGCAGGACCTTATGACTCTAATCAAATGCTTGATGTGCTTTGAGTTATGATGGAAACTGATAGAAAGGCAAGTTGTGTGTGCCTATTGACATGGCTGAAGTTCTCCGCTCTCACAGAAGAGGGCACTGCAGAAGACTGAGCTACATAAGCAAATAAGCAGCTGCTAACTTGGAAAATGACTCCCTTGGAAACGTCTTCTTCCCTGAGCCTTAGTTTGGTGGGTATTTAAAGATGGTCAATAGTGATTTCCTGCCTCTTTTGGTACTAAGCCATTTTTTCAATGAGACAATGGTTAAATTTGGTGGATTTCTTAGGTCAGTTCACAGGCAAACAAACTCATAAGAGGATGGGTAACAGTCTGTTCACTGGCTTTCTCTAAATAGATATGGTGAGTCATCTCTTCCCCTTAGGTTACCATCTGCTATGGTCTAGAAGTCAGTCCCAATTAAAAGAATCTGATTTATTCTTCTTTTTTCCCTTCCTTTGATATTCTTGCACACAAGAAATATTGACCTAGGACTCTTACATTCATTTCTTTTTGTGTGTGATAAACCATATTTTCTGAAAGTCTCATTATCTTGTAAACCAGGTAACCTAGTAAGATGTATTACCATTTTGAGATTTGAAAGGGTAAACAGCAAAATGCTAAATTTTCTGCAAGACTGAAGATTTTGTGTTAAAGAAAATGTATCAGATAGCTTTAGGTAATAAATAGTTATGTTACAGCATGCAGAGGTTGTCATATAAAATCAGCAGCAATTTAAGCAACTTCAGCCAAGTCTCAGGATACAAAATCAGTGTGCATAAATCTCAAGCATTCCTTTACATCAACAATAGACAAACAGAGAGCCAAATCATGAATGAACTCCCATACACAATTGCTACAAAGAGAATAAAATACCTAGGAATACAGCTAACAAAAGATGTGAAGGACTTCTTCAAGGAAAACTACAAACCACTGCTCAAGAAAATAAAAGAGGACACAATCAGATGGAAAAACATTCCATGCTTGTAAATAGGAAGAATCAATATTGTGAAAATGGTCATACTGCCCAATGAATTTATAGATTTAATACTATTCCCATTAAACTACCATTGACATTCTTCACAGAATTAGAAAAAACTACATTTAAATTAATATGAAACCAAAAAAGAGCATGAATAGTCAAGACAATCCTAAGCAAAAAGAAGAAAACTGGAAACATCACATTGCCTGACTACAAACTATACTGTAAGGTCACAGTAACAAAAACAGCATGGTAGGGACACCAAAACAGACACATAGGCCAATGGAACAGAATAGAGATCTCAGTAATAAGACCACACATCTACAACTATCTGAGCTTTGACAAACCTGACAAAAACAAGCAACAGGGAAAGGATTCCATATTTAATAAATAGTGCTGGGATAACTGGCTAGCCATAAGCAGAAAACTAAAACTGTACCCCTTCCTTATGCCTTATACAAAAATTAACTCAAGATGTATTAAGGACTTAAATTTAAAACCCAAAACTATAAAAATCCTAGAAGAAAATGTAGGCAATACCATTTAAGAGATAGACATAAGCAAAGATTTCATGACAAAAACATCAAAAGCAATTGCAACAAAAGCAAAAATTGACCAAGGGGAACTAATTAAACTAAAGTGGTTCTGCACTACAAAAGAAATTATCATCAGAGTGATCAGACAACCTATAGAATGGGAGAAAATTTTGCAATCTATCCATCTGACAAAGGTCTAATATCCAAAATTTACAAGAAACTTAAACAAATTTACAATTGAAAAAATCAAAAAGTGAGCAAAGAACATGAACAGACATTTCTCAAAAGAAGACATTTATGCAGCCAACAAACATGTAAAAAAGTTCAACATTACTGATCAACAGAGAAATGCAAATCAAAACCACAATGAGACACCATCTCATGCTAGTCAGAATGGCAGTTACTAAATAGTCAAGAAAAAACAGATGCTGGTGAAGTTGTGGAGAAATAGGAACACTTTTACACTGTTTGTGAAATGTAAATTAGTTCAACCATTGTGGAAGACAGTGTGGCAATTACTCAAAGACTTAAAACTGGAAATTGCATTTGACCCAACAATCCCATTACTGGGTATATACCCAAAGGAATATAAATCATTCTATTATAAAGATATACACACACATATGTTCATTGCAGCACTATTTACAATAGCACAGACATGGAATCAACCCAAATGTCCATCAGTGATAGGTTAGATAAAGAAAGTGGGGCACATATGCACCATGGAATACTATGCAGCCATAGAAAGGAATGAGATCATGTCTTTGCAGAAACATAGATAGAGCTGGATGCTATTATCCTCAGCAAACTAACACAGGAACAGAAAATCAAACACTGACATTCTCACTTATAAGTGGTAGCTGAACAATGAGAACACCTGGACACAGGGAAGGTATAACACACACTGGGGCCTGTCAGGGGAGTGGGGATTAGGGAAGCATCAGATAAACAGAAAATTAATGCAAGGCTTAATACTTAGGCGATGGGTTGATAGGCACAGGAAACCACCATGGCACATGTTTACCTTTGTAACAAACCTGCACATCCTGCACATGTATCCTGGAACTTAATATTAAATTAAATTAAGAAAAAAACAAAATCAGCCACAATCTATGTCAGGCTTAGAAATGACAGGTGTCTTCCTAACAGAGACCAACCAGGTTCATAGCTAAATTTACAGGTAATGCTAACTATCAAAATCATTTCTATAGCATCCTGTTTCTTTAACTATGTAGCAGATAATTGAATATTTTTACCATAAATAAATATGATAAACTTATTGACAACTAATGTACAGAGGGTCCAATGACGGCAATACACTTATGGAGAATTCCTCACTAGTTCAGAGTTTCTGCTGATCTTATTGGTTGTTAATGGTTTGTCATACTGTCATCTTGGAGAAGATCTTTAGAGACCAAAAAACAATTCATGTCTTTAGCTAAGCAACTGCTTGGGATCAAAGAAACACAGAGAGGTATAAATCCTGTTTTTCTTTTAATGCTGGTTAGATGGAGCCAGTTTTATCTGAGAACACCCTATCTGCTGGCCTCTCGTGGGGCCCCGATCTGGCTGTACGTGCTTGCAGCACAGCCTTGGATGCCCAATCAAGGTGCTTCCTGGGGGCTCACATCATAGCTCCTTCACCAACAGACTGCACCTGATCATCACAGAACTCTATCAATGCAGCCCCCACTGACACACAAAAGCCCACCCACACCCTCTCCCACTGCAGCCTCCTCCATGCCTGCATTGCCAGGATTCACAAACATGGCCACACTCCCACTGCTTTGCTAGCATCCACACAGGCAGAGCTCACTTTTTCCCCCCAGTGGTGTGTGTGTGCATGTGTACTGTGCCACCCATCTGCTGCTATGTGAGCACACCCTGCTCTCCCTGCCTCCCTGATTAGCAGGCACCTAGCTGCACTGCTACTGCTGGCATCAACAATCACACAGATGCAAGCAACCCCACCCAGACCAGACAGTTGTTGTTTAATTATATCATAACTGAAATAGCAACATGGCTCTTATACCCTAAAACATCTGCTCACTAGCACTGAAATTAAATTGTGTCAGAAAAATGTTTTCTGTGTTTAATTTGAAAAAAGTATTAGCAATATTACAAGGCTTCATTATATTTATATCTTAAATTTCTATGAAAAAGAATAAACATTTTTCAAAGTGATTGTGTAAGCATCTTTGAGAGCACAAGAGGAAAGTGTTTCAGACTTGAACTATTAGAATAATAAGTAACATTAAGCTAAGTGTCTTAAAGCCATGTACTATATTATTAGTAGTATTACCAATAACTATTGACCATGAAGACTAACACCACTTCATAAAAATTTTTTGATACAATATTCAATGAAAAACTAAAACAATATTTAAATTGATGTGTATCAGTTCATTATAGCTTTGAAAAAATTATGTATGACACAGACACGCTAAGTATACTTCTACCCCAAAGTGTTTGGTAATGTGTTTATATACTTTCATATCTTAAACCACTAAATAAAAAATATGAGTGAATCACATTACAAGTAGATTAAGATCACTGAGCCTGAAATTCACTCATTTATTATAAATATTTCATAAATATTAGTTGCCATATCTCAATTATACTTTTTGTTGTCATCAAATTTACCTAGAAAGTGCCAGGTGGCATCCCATCCTGCATGTCATTTTAAGTATATGCACACATCTTTTCTTAACTCTTTGTCAGTGACCACAATGGTTGGACAGCTTTGCATCATGCATCCGTGGGCGGATACACTCAGACCATGAAGGTCATTCTTGATACTAATTTGAAGTGCACAGATCACATAGATGAAGACAGGGTATGTACTGTGGTCCTCACACTTACCCAAAATCTTGACATAACAGAAACTTCCAGCATTGCCAGAAAACCCTCCTAGACACCTTCTTCCCTTCCTTGCTCTTTTCCTAGGCTTTTTGGGTTTTTAGCAAGCAGACTCTTGAGGTAAAATATGAATCAAAAACAACAGAAATGGGAGAATACCAAGGGCTGGGTGGATGTTGAGGAAACCCCTGGTCCACAGGGCACTGTGAGTCAATGGTAAAGCTTTACTCGCTGGTAGACCCAGAAAAATGAAGGAAGGGGTAGGTTTTCATTAAAATAAGTGCATTATTTTAAAGTGTGTTGACTTGAAGGACTGCCCTTTATTGTGCTATTATGTCCTTCCTTCTTTTGGGGAGAATAACTATTGAAATGTACATTTGTAATGACAGAGATGAATAACTGTTGTTGCCTTTTTTAAAAAGAAAAAAAAGTCGTGGGGAAACTAAACATTGTCAACCTTATAACAGTCTCCGTTTTTTTTTTTTTTAATGTACAAGCTTGGGAAACCCCAAATCTGTAGGGCACTGCTCTACCAGAGGATAAATCACAGGAGTATTTTCTTCTATGTTCGACCCAATATCTTTTTACTCTGAAAGCTTGTCCTTTGTCCTTGTGGAATCATCCCATTGCAAAAGCAACACAAAACAACTCCCTTGTGTTTCATTCTGTTTCTTTCTCTCTTTCTCTCTTTGTCTCTCTCTCTGTCTCTCCCCCTGCCCCACCCACACACACAGACCCACTTCCCACACATACACAAACAGACCAACTTCTCACACATGCACACTCACACCATGTTTGAACTATAACCGCATTATTTTGAAGCTTGAACACCGATTTTAAATGCTACGTATTTTGTTATTAAATACTTAGTGTTGCTAAGATCTTTTAAGCAATTAAGCAGTGAAACACGGCAGATTAGGCATCGTCACCACACTTTCTGTGTCCATTTCTTGAAAAGAATACTGCGCTCCATTTTGCTGCAAGGGAAGGCCATGACACAGCTGTTACGCTTCTTCTGAGCCACAATGCTGACATAGTCCTGAACAAGCAGCAGGCCTCCTTTTTGCACCTTGCACTTCACAATAAGAGGAAGGAGATGGCCGGGCGCGGTGGCTCAAGCCTGTAATCCCAGCACTTTGGGAGGCTGAGGTGGGTGGATCACAAGGTCAAGAGATCGAGACCATCCTCAACAAGGTAAAACCCCATCTCTACTAAAAATACAAAAATTAACTGGGCACAGTGGTGAGCGCCTGTAGTCCCAGATACTCAGGAGGCTGAGGCAGGAGAATTGCCTGAACCCAGAAGGCGGAGGTTGCAGTGAGCCGAGATCGCGCCATTGCACTCCGGCCTGGGTAACAAGAGCGAAACTCCATCTCAAAAAAAAAAAAAAAAGAGGAAGGAGCTACTCTGGAGGCTGAGGTAGGAGAATTGCTTGAACGCTGGAGGTGGAGGTTGCAGTGAGCCGAGATGGTGCCATTGCACTCCAGCCTGGGCAACAGAGGGAGACTCTGTCTCAAAAAAAAAAAAGCCAGGCACAGTGACTCACGCCTGTAATCCCAGCATTTGAAGAGGCTGAGGCAGGCAGATCATGAGGTCAGGAGATCGAGACCATGCTGGGCAACATGGTGAAACCCTGCCTCAGGAGGCTAAGGCAAGAGAATCACTTGAACCAGGGAGTCGGAGGTTGCAGTGAGCTGAGATCACGCCATTGCACTCCAGCCTGGCAAGAGAATGAGACTCCATCTCAAAAAAATGTAATTTAATAAAATTTTTTATCAGGGTAACACTGATCAATTAGCTCAGAGATCTATCCTAATGAAAATACTAAAATTTAAATATAAATGAGAACTCCTATAGAGACTGACTTAAAAAATATCAAGAACAAATCAGTCTGGCATCAGAATTCTCCATGGTAGCCAGGCGCAGTGGCTCATGCCTGTAATCCCAACACTTTGGGAGGCCGAGGCGGGCAGATCATGTGAGGTCAGGATTTCTAGACCAGCCTGGCCAACATGGTGAAACGCTATCTCTACTAAAAATACAAAAGTAGCCGGGTGTGGTGGAGCATGCTTGTAGTCCCAGATACTGAGGAGGCTGAGGCACAAGAATTGCTTGAGCCCAGGAGGCAGAGGCTGCAGTGAGCCAAGATTGTGCCACTGCACTCCAGCCTGGGTGGAAAAGTGAGCCCAAAAGGACATCTCAAAAAGCCAATCTTCATTTTTACATCGGTGATGTTATTTACAGGAGTAATTGGGGAAGTTGCAAATCAACAACCTCCACAATAGTGGTTGAATTCAGGCCACTCTCATTCACCTAAGTTGGTGGCCTTTCATTAGTTTTGTGAGGGTAGTTTAGTTTTGAAGAGGATGATCATCATCTTTTTTTTTTTCTTCAACCTTTAAGTTCAGGGGTACGTGTGCAGGATGTGCATATAGGTAAACATGTGCCATGGTGGTCTGCTGCACAGATCACCCCATTACCTCGGTATGAAGCCCAACATTCATTAGCTATTCTTCCTGATGCTCTCCCTGCCCCACCCCATCCTGTTTATTTATTTATTTATTATTATTTTTTGAGATAGGGTCTCGCTCTGTCTCCCAGGCTGGAGGCTGGAGTACAGTGGTACAATCTCCATTCACTGCAACCTCTATCTCCTGGGCTCAAGCAATCCTCCTACCTCAGCCTCCAAGTAGCTAGGACTACAGGGGTGCACCACCATGCCGGGCTAATTTTTGTATTTTTTGATAGAGACTGGTTTCACCATGTTGTCCAGGCTGGTCTCAAACTCCTGAGCTCAAGTGATCCGTCTGCCTCAGCCTCCCAAAGTGCTGGGATTACAGGCGTGAGCCACAGTACTCAGCCCCCTTCCTGTTTTTTATAGGTGCATTGCAAGCATCCAGAGCTCTGTCCTCAATGAGCACTGTGTGTGTGTGTGTGTGTGTGTGTGTGTGTTGTCGTTTAGACGGATTCTCACTCTGTTGCCCAGGCTGGAGTATAGTGGTGTAATCTCAGCTCACTGCAACCTCTACCTCCCAGGTTCAAGTGATTCTCCTGCCTCAGCCTCCTGAGTAGCTGGGATTACAGACATGGGCCACCACACCCGGCTAACTTTTATATTTTTAGTAGAGACCGGGTTTCACCATGTTGGCCAGACTGGTCTGGAACTCCTGAACTCAGATGATCTGCCCGCCATGGCTTCCCAAAGTGCTGGGATTACAGGCGTCAGCCACAGTGCCTGGCTCATCTTTGGTTTCTTAGAATAAACATTACTTAATCATGGTGTAGTGGTCCTTGACTACAGTCTGGGTTTCATTTGTATTTTATTCAGGATTATTGCTTCCATTTGCATGTGGACCTCTTTTTTAGGGGGTGGCATTCTCAAGGTTTCTCAGAATTATATCAGTTTTGTAACACTGACTTGGAAATTTGCCATTTTTGACTATATGCTGGAATAGTTTAATGTGGGAATCATGTTAGTTAAAACTAAAACTATACTCAACTATAAAACAGTTGTATTGGCCAGGTGCAGTGGCTCACACCTATAATCCCAGCACTTGGGGGGCTGAGGCTGGCAGATCACGAAATCAGGAGTTCGGGACCAGCCTGACCAATATGGCGAAACCCTGTCTCTACTAAAAATACAAAAATTAGCTGGGCGTGGAATCCTAGCTACTCAGGAAGCTGAGGCAGGAGAATCAGTTGAATCCGGGAGGTGCAGGTTGCAGTGAGCCAAGATCATGCCACCGCACTCCCGTCTGGGCAACGGAGTGAGACTCCGTCTAAAAAAAAAAAAAAAAGTCATATCATGCCCCTTTGGAAGAAATCTCTTAACGATGACTTGAATTTCTTCTATGGTTGTTGATCTATTCACATTTTGTCTTAGGTTAAATTTCATAATTATTTTTCCAGAAATCATGCACTTACAATTTAAATTTTTTTCGGTATAAGTAATAATCTCCTGTAATCTAAAAAACTTTTCTCTATTTCTGAGTATATAACCTTTCTCATAGCAACATATCTATGCATTTTTGCTTTCTCATTTTCCTCTTGGTATGTCCTACAAGTTCATCTACTGTTTTGAACCAGCCCTCTTATATTCTTCTGAAGTACTGAGTCCCATTTTCTAATTGTTTCTATTTTTGCTAATTCTTTTTACCTTGCTTTCCTTGGCATTTTCTTCAGATTTTTTGAATTTAATCACCTTTTTTTTTCACTAGTTA